GCTCTTCTCCAAGCTCGGGGAGGCGTGGCCCTCCCTGTCGAAGGTCGCGGTGGTCCGGTTGCCACTGCGACTGGCCTTCCCCCGGTGGGCCCGTACGTCCCGACTCCACTCTCAGAGGCCGCGTCAGCTCATCTCTCGCCTCCTCCGACAACTGACCGATCAGGGACAGAGGGAAACGGGCAGCGAGGAAGGCCCAGTGTTTTCCTTGGAGCACGGCAGTCGAATTTTTCTCTCGGCTCGCCGTCGTTGAGGTGGCTCGGGGCCGACTCTCGCCAGGTGATTACCAGCAGGCGCCGGCTGTCCGCGCGCCCTCTGCCCCCGACACGCCGGTCCCGGGCCCACCGGCACATGCCGCAGCGCCGGGCTCGTTCGCGCCTCGCGATAGCGCGCCCTCGCCGTGGCGCTCAGCTCAACCCCGGTCCTCGAGGACGCTGCGGGGACGGAGAACAGCGCATGCCGCGGGGCTCGCCGCACACACGGCCCTGCGGTGCGTGCCGGCCCCGCCCGCCCATCGGGTGCGGCGGCTGGTCAGCGGGCCGCCGCGCCCATTCGAGCCCCTCTAACGCTGCTCCTGCTCGTTGCGAGCAACGTGCTGTGGCAGCGCGCGCACGGCGGTCTCCGTCGGGTAGGCGTGGAAGAAGTCGCGGCGGGCCGCGAGCAGCGCCGCCGCCTCGGCGCCCTCGCACGACGCAAACTCGGAAAAGGCCTCGAGAAGGGTCGGCTCCGCCTCGGGCGTCGAGGAGCAGGAGATGAGCAGCGACGAGGCGAGCGCCCAGCGCATTGTGTCGAGTGAGTTCTCGAGCGCCGACGACAGCTGGGACAAAAAGAATTCTTAAGGGCCAAGCCTCTCTCACAGCACACTGGCACGACAAGGGCGCAGACTGGCGCGGACTGGCACGCACACAGGCTCACCACCGGAGCCGCCTAAGCGACTCCGTTAAGAACGGCAATGCACTCCGCACCATGCACAATGCCGCTCTCCCCGCACGCTAGCTCGTTCACCGTCTGCCACGCCACGGCGGTGTGGAGGACGACAGACAAGCGCTGCATCTGCAGCCCGTGCCAGTTCTTGGTGGTCCATGTGACCTCGTCCAGGTGCTGAGCGTGCGAAAGTTTGTTGCTCAGCTGGTTCGCCGCCTCCCTCAGGGTGCTGCGAACCTCCTTTCCAAAGCCTCCGAAAGCCTCAAAATCAAACAAACGTAGATCGCAATCCTGCTGCCGCGCAAAGGGGTAATCGCCAGGCTGCTCCTTGAGCTTTCCCTTGGGGGCATCCTCCTCCTCCCCCTCCTCCCCCTCCTCCTCGGCCTCCTCCTCCTCCCCCGCCACCGCCGCTGCCGTCGCTTCCGACGGAGACCACTTGCCGCGCCCTTTGACCAACTTGAGCAGCCCGGTCTCCGTGTTGCCAAAAAGAATTTAACAAGCGACGCCGTCGCCAACTGTCATGTCGGTAGCCGCTCTGCACCGCTCGCTGCTGGAGCGCGGTTGATCGCGGCGCCGACGCAGCGGCGGCGCCGTTTCGCGCGGCGAGAGACGGCGTGGCATCGGCGCCAAAACAAACGGGAGGTCGCGGCGCGGGCGCGGCAGCAAAAACATCGGCGTCGCTTCAGCTTCTGCTTCTCGTCTCGTCTTGTAGCAGTAGCAGTCGCACACGCGCGCGATCCGCGCCGCTCCGCGAGGACACGACCATCGGGATTCGAAGGGGAACGCACGACCCCGGCCCCGAACCCCACCGCCCCCTGTTATGGGATCCGTTATGGCCCTGCGACCGCGCACCCCCCAGGGCTAGGGCTCTCTAGCCCGTAACCCGATGCCGATCATCCGGCCCGCTGGGTGCGCTTCTTAGCTCCCCGGCCCAGGATGTGAGGGTAA